AAAAAAAAAAAATTTGTTTTGTTTTTTTTGGGAGCCTTTTTTTTTTCCCCCAGAGCGGACTGAGCGCCTCTTAACAGTAGGGCCGAGCTTCGCGTTTTTTTTATTATTTATCGGCTAGTGACGGAGTTCCATCGGGCGTAGTAGCGTCATGGAGCGGCAGGCCGAACCACGGCAGCGCGCAATGATTCTACAGCTGCATAGGCGCGGTTACGGCCTAACTCCGACCCGACACTGCGCTGGCAGGTCCATGCCCGCGGTCGACCGCTGACCGCGCGCACGCCGTGGCGCGGGAGGCTCAAAAGACATGAAGGCCCCGTCAGGCCTGGGGGCCGCTCTACATCAATAAAAATATGCTATTTATTTTGTTCACAATCCTTAATTTAAACTAGAGACAAGAGAAAGAGAGAGAGAGAGAGAGAGAAAGAGAAGAAGACGAGCAGCAGAGAGAGAGAGCAGAGAGCGAGAGACCCCGCACGAGACAGTGGGACACACGCGACGAGCACGCGTGACAGGCATGAGAGCCGAGCCCCAGCACGCAGAGATGAGAGTCCCGCAGAGAGAGAGAGAGAGAGAGAGAGCCGCCGCATTCGCGATGATTTGACATGAATAAAATATAAATCTATTATAGAAATTACTATATATATATATAGTATAAATATTGCTATAATAATTATGTGTGTGTGCGTGCGTGCGTGCGTGCGTGCGTGCGTGCGTGCGTGCGTGCGCGCGCGTGGTGTGTGTGTGTGTGTGTGTGTGTGTGTGTGTGTGTGTGTGTGTGGGCGGATACAATAGAAGGAAACGGGCATCTGATAATTAACCAGTGTAACACTTTAACTACAGCTAGAACCTTTTTATGAGAGGTTGTTCATAACCATGCATGTACCACTCAGCTACCTATGTTGAAATCGCGTCTCGTCAATGTAGTTACTTTGGAGGATATGGCGCATCTCGCATATTAATTCTACTACGCTACACCAGAGCCGTAGCTAGCGGGCGGGGAGAGGCATTTGCCCCGCCCCAACCCAACCTCTCACCAAGTTCAGTTACGATTCTATGATCAGTAGAATATACTGCTTACGGTCAACCTCCAAAACTTTCCAAAAACTCCTGCCAAATAGATTCTCTTACAGGTACACACACACAAACAGAGCGGGGCTGTTTTCGTTCAGTTCCATCTCTCATAATGTCATTGTTTCCGTAGAGTTTATTGTATATAAAATTTATTTTTGTTTACTCTTGATACCATATACATCAAGTATAAAATTTCTAACTGAACAGATTACTATGCGTTACAATGGCCAAAGGAGTTGCACACAAGTTTACGCAATGATAAAATTTCTTATGTACATGTGTTTACACTTCCCCTTCTTGCTCTCATCCGTGCTCACCACAAAACTAGGCATTACCACATTCATATAAAAACACATTCTATCAAATCCTAAAACATCTCTAATATTGTTAAATTACTCGAAGAATTCGTCTCAACAACGAAGTCTACAACTACAATAATAGGTCTAGTGATGTTATCTCAAATAAGATGGATTTTTCGATATACGTGCGTCGCTTCGCGAATTTAGTAGGGATTTACGTATCCCACCGGCCTCACTTTCATGAGGGTTCGCCTCAGTGAATAGTAATAGTCCTTCCAGGCTCGCCAATTAATGCCGTCGGCAAAGGTCTTGTGCGGTCCGAGAAGAAAGACGCCGTTTAGGTTCGAGTCGTGGCAGTTCTCGTACCACCAGGCGCCATGACACGTCACGGCGCAGTTACCCGAGTACAGATCGTTATCCTTGTCTTTCGTAGTCCACGCCATGTTTCGATGTCTTGACAAGGAGTCACCTAACAACACACACACACACACACACACATATTTATATTATATTATATATATATATATATATATATATATATATATATATATATACGATATGGGTTGGGTGGATGGGATGGATGGATGCGGATGGATGGATGGATGGATGGATGGATGGATGGATGGATGGATGGATGGATGGATGGATGGATGGATGGATGGATGGATGGATGGATGGATGGATGGATGGATGGATGGATGGATGGATGAATGGACAGATGAACGGAGGACGGACGCATGGACGCATGGACGGACGGACGGACGCACAGACGGACGGACGGATGGATGGATGAATGCATCCATTCATATATTCAGCTGCGGTAACGCTTGCCAATTTTACAACTCTCGGTGACACTTCTCTGAACAAACTAATAGTAATTATTCGGCGGAGAAACTATCATCAGCGTTGTCACGTATGTCTCAACTTTTAAAGGTCATCACAAAGACGTTCATAAAATTATAAGATCGGGAGTATTAATGGGCAATATTATTAATGCGTGTTAATAAAATGTGCGTGCGAGCTATACCTGCAGTTCCAAAATAGGCGCCTAAGCTTAGCCGGTAGAGGGCGTCCTCGGAGGCGACGGCAAACTGGTCGTAGCCCGCGTAGCGTGAGTTACCATCAGCGTCTTCCATGTCTATACGCAGTTCCATCCGCTTAGACTGCGTTAGTTGGCTAATCTTATCATTACCTGCAAGGCGTTAACTAGACTTTTATTTGATGATTAAAAGTGGTGAACATTGTTGTGTTCGTTTGGGAACGTAAATGATTGAAGGAGAAGTCTCGGTATCTCGTAAAACGTATCGGTCTAGTAAAAGCTTTGCGGTAGTAGAAAATAGTAGATTTTACAACAGAAACGGCATTCCTAGAACTACTAACTACTAGTAAATAACACCATGAATATATATATACCAACACAAAAACACGTATGTTTATCATTCTATGCTAATACCTTCTTAACTAATAACCTCTTTTTGTCGTTTTTCTTTTGCTCTGTACAGGAGTAGTTTCGTATAATATATATTTACATATACACCGCAATATTTCCAGCTATAAGAAACCACATTATATATTAAATATTAATTTTATTGATAGGCCTATAGCGAGAGACAGCATCATCCTATTCGCGATAAATATATTATTGTTAGTTTCTCTATCGCATTCATGTATCACTATAATAAATAAATTAATTAATTAAGAACACACAAATGATCAAATAAGTACATTTTCATTAATAATAAAATAAACACCATATGGGCCAGAAATATTCACCTAACCAAAATTCGCCATTCAAACGCCCAAATCCGTTTTTGTATGCATCCCAGCCTCTAAAGAAGTCCACGGAACCATCCATGCGTACCTGCACGAAAAAGACACACGTTGAGCGCTTGCATACACGGGTTCATTGTATAGCTTGGGAGGACCTAGTACACCATCCAGTGTAGACATGTGACGTTTCACAGCTAACAGCCAAAAACTCGAAGCCCAACCCGGATACGAACTAATATTGTATAATGGATATACACTGTATAGGAATTATCGGAGATTACCTACCAAAAATTACTTCTACACTCTCTCTCTCTCTCTCGCGCTCTCTCTCTCTCTGTCTCTCTCTCTCTCTCTCTCTCTCTCTCTCTCTCTCTCTCTATATATATATATATATATATATATATATATATATAATTATTATATATATTTATATATTTATTTATTTATTTATTTTATTTATTTTTTTATATACACATAATAATATCATATAATATAATTACGCCAATATAATATAACTACTCCACGCGTGCTAAATTTTCATATACTATGTTAGGTTAGGCGTTTTTGGTATTAGGTTAAGTTGGGTATTTTTGGCATAACTAATTAGGCGGCTTTCATACCTGGAAGACCGTCCAGCCGCCACCATCTGTGTCCAAGTCACAGTACACCTGAAACGGCGTGTCGCTAAGCATCGGCTTGATTTTGTAGATGCCCGAGCGAGGGTGCTTATGGAAGCGCCCAACGTCAAAGCAGTCCTGCGGATAGCCTGCGTGGGATCAAGACACAGTGACGTCATGATCACGAATAGAGCAAAAGCAAATATAGTATAGTATGTTCGAAGGTGCTAGCCGCTTTATGGTACGAAATAAATACATCCCCTATATATGTAACGGGTGTTTTCTGGTCTGGTTACATAAATCGTGGCAGCGGTGGGATAGTGTGGTTACAAGTGGCTAGCTGGACTGAGAAATTATGGCAGAAGTTGAGGCCTTGCGTCAGGAGCTACAGCAGCTACACGCGCAGGGGCGGATCCAGAGGGGGTGTCGAGGGGGTCCGGACCCCCCTTTTTACCACAAAAAAGGGGGAAAAAGCATGCACACACACGCACGCACGCACGCTCGATATCACTAGGCGCTGTTGCTGATATGCAGCGTCGTGATGCTGTAGTTGGAAAAGTTTTCGAGTACTGGTCCTTGGGCAAGAAGCCGAGTCTACATGTGAGGAAACTGGGAGCTCCTCAGGTTCAACTGTTGTTGCGGCAATGGCCGAGACTAGGTAGGTCTGATGGCGTCCTTTACAGAAAAGTGCACGACCCTCTACTCGGAGAGATGCGACAGATAGTTCTACCACGTAATCTCCAGTCAGATGCCCGCCGCTGTATGCATGATCAGCATGGACACCAGCATAGAAAGGACTGATGCAATGCTTAGAGCACGGTACTATTGGCCAGGGATGATGACTGATATTAAAGACTGGGCAGACAACTGTGAACGTTGTGTTCTGGCGAGACATCGGAAAACCAGAACTCCTCTCGGTTCCATCATGGCATCTCGTCCACTGGAAGTCATATGTATGGACTACACTGTGATCGAGACATCAACTGACGGGAAGGAAAACGTACTTGTGCTCACAGATGTATTTACCAAATTGGTAGTTGCAGTACCCACTAAGGACCAGAAAGCTACTACTGTAGCTCGTGTGTTAGTAAAAAAGTGGTTTCATAAGTACGGTCCATCCTTGAGAATTTACTCTGACCAAGGACGAGACCTTGAGGCAAATGTTGTGTGCGAACTGTGTCAGTTATATGGAGTGCAGAGGTCTCATACGACAAGATATCACCCAATGGAGAACGAACAATGCGAGTGATTTAATCACACTATGCATGATCTGTTACGTACATTACCCCTTCACAAAAAGTGTCGATGGACTGACTATCTCAGTGAACTTGTGTTTGCATACAACACTACACCACATGGATCGACGGGATATGCACCATTTTACCAGTTATTCGGGAGAGATGCGTGCACTGTGGCGGATCTCCAGCTTACGCCAACTCTGTCAGATACGGACGAAGGGGCTGTTAAATGTCTAACTGACTGGGTGCAGGTGCACCAACGTAAGCTACGTGATGTGTATAATCATGTGACTGAGAAACTACACCAATCAGCTGAGGCCTGGAAACGTATATACAACAGAACAGCCAAGGAGGCCAAAATAGCCCTTGGAACTCGCGTGTATCTTCAGCAATTCCTAAAAGGACGTACCAAAATCCAGGACTGTTATAGTGAGAAAGTGTACAGGGTCATTGGGCGACGCGGTGATAGCGATGTGTATGAAATAGAACCATTAGACGGGTTTGGACCTACCAAGTGGGTCAACCGTTGTCAGCTTAGGCCATGTCCTGTCTGCCCTGATCGGGAACAACCTGTCGGTCTACCGAGATGGCCTGAATTTCCTCCAGGTGAATCAGCTTGTGATGTTGACGAGGATCAATCAGATGACTTAATTGGATTTTGGCATGTGGAGAAGGAACCAATCCCCACTCGTCAACCCAGAGGACAACACCCAGATCATGTCCAGGATGTTAGGAGCGAGGAAGGACTTTCACCTGTAGGAATTAGGCGAACAAGTTGCCAAAATGCAGGTTTACACCGGAATTTGTATGGACTGCCTATGTCGGCTATCCATGAGTCGATGGAGACTACAGTTTAATATGGACCTCATGTGTTATCGTTTAGATGACGGCGATCACCTCAGTGCTATTTTATACAGGAGATGAAATTACTATATCTCTTGGGAAAACCGAACAGTTATGTAGACATTATTCTGCACATTCATTCTTAGCATATTTTATGTCCACCTCTTGTTGAGCGTAGCCGTTCATTGTTTAGCGCTAGTTTTTCTGATAAAGATTTACTTATATATATGTAAATTCGTTATAAAAACCTAGAAATGGGCAAAGAGGGGTCCGCAGGCGTCCGGGGGACCGGATCAGATTAATTTTTGCATTCCAGACATCAAAATTACTGCTTAGATGCTCTCAGAATGCACCAATTTAAAGAGAAAATCTTGGGGGAGGTCCCCCCAAACCTCCCCTATGTGGCCTTCGGCAGCTTTTTAAAACACCAGAAAAAGTAAGCAGAAAAAAGTGCCCTTTATTTCTTCATGGACACCCCCTTTTCAAAAATCCTGGATCCGCCCCTGACTACGTGCTAGACTGGATGAGGCTGATCCCCCCACAGCAGCCTCCAGCGCCAGCGGTGAGAGTGGTGTATGCCCATCGCAAGCTACCTAGTACCTTCCAGGGTGATTCGTTACAACTTGATGACTGGATAGTTGAGGCACGGGGAGCTATCTGTAGTCAAGGACTTCAAGGTCCGGCAGCGACAGATTTCCTGCGTATGCATCTTGAGGGTTCAGCTAAGGCTGAAGTGAGATATGCTGACGTGGAAGATCCTGGGGAACTTTTTGAGTTATTAGAGGCGGCCTTTGGTAAACAGAAGAGTGCATCACAGATACTTGATCTGTTCTTTAATCGTAAACAAGAACCCAAAGAGAATCTCCGTGACTTCTCTCATGCCCTGATAGTTCTGGCCGAGAGAGCTGTTAAGAGAGACCCAGACTGTTTACCAAACAAAGACCAGATGATAAGGAACAGGTTTGCTGAGAAGGTCAGAGACAAAGCTCCCAGGAGAGATCTATGAAAGGAAATTAAGAGGGTTCCTGATATATCGTTCAATGACTTACGCGCTGAAGCTTTGTCTTGGGCGGAGGATGAGGACACTATTAACACGGCATCGACTCGTGCGGTAGAAGCTGAAGTCACCCATCAGTCTGTACACCGGGAAAGCTCTATGTCTAAGGAGTTAAATGTGTTACGAGAAGAACAGACTAACCTGAAGTCACTCATCGAGCACAACCAACAGCAGCAGACGGCTTTACTACAGCAAAACCAGAAACTCCTTAAAGCCATACAGAAGCCACAGGACTATAATAGTAACAACAATAGTCATCGATCAGGACAGGGTAACCGACGGGTAAAATGTTATTATTGCCATTTGTATGGACAAACGTGACTTGTGCCAAACGGAAGGCTGATCTAGAGCGTAACGGTGGAGCAGCTAGTGTGAATTCGTTCATTCCTACGAGTGTTGATGACCATCAAGCTGGTTGTCAGGACAGCCAGGAGGAAAAAGCTGACATCATTTCACAGACTATTGGTGACAGACCAGTAGTATTGGCTAAGATTGGTGGCAACAATCTGTTAAATGCTTTATAGATAGTGGATAACAAGTGTCTACCGTATCTGAAAAGTTCTACAGGGATCACTTCAGGCCACATGTGCTAGAGACACGTAGCTGGTTAGCTCTGAAAGCGGCTAACGGACTAGAAATTCCTTATCTCGGGCTTCTTGTGTTACCAGTTGAAGTATCCGGTGTTACCCTTCCTTGTGTTGGTATACTCGTCATGAAGGACACTGCTGAGGTGTGGGAAAAGCGAGAAGCGGTTCCTGGACTGTTAGGTACTAATGTCTTAGCCCATGTCTTTCAGTTTCAAGGACTGACTGCACTTACCCCAACTGCGGAGACGGCCTGTGAGGCACTGACTACTACGGGGGAGTTTGTTAGAATAGCAGAGCTCTCGGAGATAGTGGTCCCTTCGCATAGTATATGTGATCTGAGAGTGAGTGTGTGTACCCAGTGTAGATGGCACTGTATTCCTAGAACCATTTATGAAGCCAGTGAATAGTGGACTGCAGTTACCACCTGCTCTGGTCCAGTGGGTAAAGGCCCAAAGCGTGTTGAGGCTGTGAACTTTTCGAACGTTGACTATTTCTCGTGCTGGAACGGCATATGTAGCTGGGCAGGTTCACAAGGACATTGGGGTGGAAATCTGTGAACAGGCTGACGGACTTGTGATCCAGGTTGGTGATGATCCAGGAGATGACAAGCCAAAAGGTTGCCTTCCGCCTGTGGACCTGTCTCACTTTGATGGTACTAAACAGAAGAGACACGACATCGAAGACCTGCTACGTCGCTATGCTGATGTCTTCCTCAAAGATGGGGAGCCCCTTCCTGCTACACCGAGTATTCAACACCAAATCAAGACTACTAACGAAATACCTATCCAGCAGCATTATAGACGGTTTCTACCCCAGCTCATAAACAGCATCCGAGAACATCTTAAAGATTTATTGAACAAAGGTGTGATCCGAGAAAGTTCGTCCAATTATGCCTCGCTTGTGGTGATCGTTCGGAAGAAGTCCGGTGACATACGACTATCGCAAATTGAACCAGAAAGTACGCCGTGATGTTTTTCCCCTCCCTAGGATCACGGAATCGTTAGAAGCCTTGGCTGGTGCCCGATACTTTAGTACGATGGACCTGGCATCTGCTTATCATCAGATGAATGGGGCAGAAGAAGATCAGTATCGTACAGCCTTCTGTACACTCATGGGGCACTTCGAGAACGTCCAAATGCCAATGGGACTCGCCAACTCACCCAGTACCTGGCAGCGGCTGATGTCTCAGGTGTTCCGCGACGATATCTTCAGTATCCTGCTTGTGTATCTGGATGATATTATCCTGTTCAGTGGCACGGTTGCAGAACACATAGTTCGTCTTGAGACGGCTTTCGCCAAACTGCGAGCACACGGACTCAAACTGAAAGCTGAAAAGTGTTTCCTGTTCTGTAAGGAGGTCCAATTCCTTGGGCATGTTGTGAGTGCTGATGGAGTCTCCACAGATCCTGGAAATATGATAGCAGTGGCAGACTGGCCAGTACCCACCACCTTGAAAGAGCTACGTCGATTCTTAGGCTTCACTTCCTATTATAGGAGATTTATTCATGGCTATGCCCAGATGGCGACAGTACTTCATCGACTAGTGAGTCAAGCCATGGAGACACAGAAAGGAAAAAGGTCTAAGTCTGTGGGTCTTACTGGAATGTGGAGTCGGGATCACCAGAATGCTTTCAACCTATTGAAGACTGCCCTTACCAGTGCCGACTTACTAGGTTATCCAGATTTTAGCATCCCTTTTATACTCGAGACTGATGCGTCCCTACAGGGAGTAGGAGCGGTGCTTAGCCAGCGTCAAAATGACCGTCATTGTGTAATTGCCTATGCTAGCCGCGGGTTAAGGAAGGCTGAGCGTAACCCGGAACAATATAGCTCCAAACGTCTATAATTAATAGCACTTAAGTTGGGCGGTATGTGATAAGTTTAGAGAATATCTACAATATTGAACTTTCCTAACAGATAACAACCTACTTACCTACCTGATGTCAAAGAACACGCTACCTGCTATAGAGCAGAGATGAGCCGCTGCCTTGGCAGCATTTGACTTCTCCATCCGATACAGACCAGGGAGAAAGAATGCTAATGCTGATGCTCTGTCCCGGCAAGAAACCCGACCCTGGAATGCCAATGAAGTACGTGCTGTACTCACAGAAACCAGCGAGATGACAACTGTTCCTGTCAAAGTACAGACGGCTCTGGTAGAACAGATGCAGAGTTATCGTGTCCCGGATGTGTGTGAGGTGAAAGTAGCTACTCCGTTACCCTCGATATCACTAGACGCTGTTGCTGATATGCAGCATCGTAATGCTGTAGTTGGAAAAGTTTTCGAGTACTGGTCCCAAGGCAAGAAGCCGAGTCTACATGTGAGGAAACTGGCAGCTCCTCAGGTTCAACTGTTGTTGCGGCAATGGCCGAGACTAGGTAGGTCTGATGGTGTCCTTTACAGGAAAGTGCACGACCCTCTACTCGGAGAGATATGACAGATAGTCCTACCACGTAATCTCCAGTCAGATGCCCTCCGCTGCATGCATGATCAGCATGGACACCAGCATAGAAAGGACTGATGCAATGCTTAGAGCACGGTACTATTGGCCGAGGATGATGACTGATATTAAGGACTGGGTAGACAACTGTGAACGTTGTGTTCTGGCGAAACATCGGAAAACCAGGACTCCTCTCGGTTCCATCATGGCATCTCGTCCACTGGAAGTCATATGTATGGACTACACTGTGATCGAGACATCAACTGACGGGAAGGAAAACGTACTTGTGCTCACAGATGTATTTACCAAATTGGTAGTTGCAGTACCCACTAAGAACCAGAAAGCTACTACTGTAGCTCGTGTTTTAGTAAAAGAGTGGTTTCATAAGTACGGTCCACCCTTGAGAATTCACTCTGACCAAGGACGAGACTTTGAGGCAAATGTTGTGTGCGAACTGTGTCAGTTATATGGAGTGCAGAGGTCTCATACGACAAGATATCACCCAATGGAGAACGAACAATGCGAGTGATTTAATCACACTATGCATGATCTGTTACGTACGTTACCCCTTCACAAAAAGTGTCGATGGACTGACTATCTCAGTGAACTTGTGTTTGCATACAACACTACACCACATGGATCGACGGGATATGCACCATTTTACCAGTTATTCGGGAGAGATGCGTGCACTGTGGCGGATCTCCAGCTTACGCCAACTCTGTCAGATACGGACGAAGGGGCTGTTAAAAGTCAAACTGACTGGGTGCAGGTGCACCAACGTAAACTACGTGATGTGTATGATCATGTGACTGAGAAACTACACCAATCAGCTGAGGCCTGGAAACGTATATACGACAGAAGACAGCCTAGGAGGCACATCTAGCCCTTGGAGCTTGCGTGTATCTTCAGAAATTCCTAAAAGGACGTACCAAAATCCAGGACTGTTATAGTGAGAAAGTGTACAGGGTCATTGGGCGACGCGGTGACAGCGATGTGTATGAAATAGAACCATCAGACGGGTTTGGACCTACCAAGTGGGTCAACCGTTGTCAGCTTAGGCCATGTCCTGTCTGCCCTGATCGGGAACAACCTATCGGTCTACCGAGATGGCCTGAATTTCCTCCAGACGAATCAGCTTGGGATGTTGACGAGGATCAATCAGATGACTTAATTGGATATTGGCATGTGGAGAAAGAACCAATCCCCACTCGTCAACCCAGAGGACAACACCCAGATTATGTCCAGGATGTTAGGAGCGAGGAAGGACTTTTACCTGTAGGAATTAGGCGAACAAGTTGCCAAAATGCAGGTTTACACCGGAATTTGTATGGACTGCTTATGTCGGCTATCCATGAGTCGATGGAGACTACAGTTTAATCTGGACCTCATGTGTTATCGTTTAGATGACGGCGATCACCTCAGTGCTATTTTATACAGGAGATGAAATTACTATATCTCTTGGGAAAACCGAACAGTTATGTAGACATTATTCTGGACATTCATTCTTAGCATATTTTATGTCCACCTCTTGTTGAGCGTAGCCGTTCATGTTATGTAATCGATCATTTGCGTTTGTTAGGGCATACGTTAGTATGTTGTGTTTAACTTGTAAGGGTTAAGACCACCTGTAGGCCTACCTTAGCGTTAGTTGATGTTCGAAGTTGGTTATAGGTTATCGTTGATATAAAGGAAGGGTGGATGCGGCAGTACTGTGCCAAAATTCATGATTGTGATTAGTTACATCTTATCGGTATAGATGACAGCACCTCTCAGTGTTCTAGTTGTGTTCTGAAAAACGAGGCAGCGTGGTTGTGGGAATGACGCCAGCTTTTTAATTCTTGTCCGAAGGTGCTAGCCGCTTTATGGTACGAAATAAATACATTCCCTATATATGTAACTGGTGTTCTCTGGTCTGGTTACAATAGTATAGTATAGTATAGTATAAATCGCGTCTGTCGTGGAGTAACGCGGATTACGTAGTCATGGGAACGCAGTTTGATTAACGATTAACGGTTTGTTGTCCATTCCATAACACTGGTCATTTAGTAACAGTTCCATACTTGCATTTGCATTTCATTGCACATAGAAATACATTATGATACGCGCGCGCGCGCACACGCACACGCACACGCACACGCACACGCGCACGCACGCGCGTACGCACGCGCGTTTCCACGCAAGGGTGCATGCACACATGCATGTACACACACGCGTACACACGCAAAGGCGCACGCACGCAGGTACACACACACATATGCACACACACGCGCGCGCACGCACACATTGAATTGTCATTTATAATAGGTGGTAGTAATGTAATCTACCAGTCACGTTCGGCTGCAGGCACATTTGCACTCCCAGGCCGTGGATAAGGTTGTCTGACAACTCCGCTATCAGGCTCTGCTTGCTAATCGACTTCACCTACAAACAGGTAAAAGGCACGTCAAGTTAATTACTTTTATGGAAGTGTGTTTCTCTGCCTGCCTGCGTGTGGGCGCGCGTGCCCGCGGCGTGCATCCGTGGGTAATACCCCCGTCACACTGGACGGCGACCATCCGCGACCGTACGGCGACCAGAAAATGTACAAGGTCGCCGGCAAACGCGAACACAACGCGAGAAAAAGTCCCAACAAATTACAAACTTGAAAAAAAACCGCGCTCTTACCGCGACCTGTGCGATCATACCGCGTTCTCACGGCGCGCCCGCCACGACCTCTCCGCGCTTATGGCGTTTCTATTGAGATCTATGGGCTTGGCAACGGCGGTCACCGGCGTTCCCGCGGCGCTGCACGCTCATGGGGTTCTTACCACGCGTCTTCTACGTGCATCGCGACCTCACGGCGTTTCTACCAC